CATATTCTGCTTGGAAGATGAGGTATCTTCTACTTACCACTTGACAAAACCATTATGCTGTTACAAGGCTTTATACTGAAAAACTCGACAAATAGTAAAACATAAATAAGATTGCGTTTGAAAAGCGGGAGAATAGTTGCTGTCTGTCTTATAGCCAGATTTAGCAGATGCGGGCTTGAATGTAAAACAGTTGTGAAAATAGCCAGTGTCAAACTAGTGCAAAATTAAACTTGTGGGGTGTTCTGTTTTCAGTGTCTGTTATTGTTGAAGTACTCCATTTCAAAAGCATGCATTCCTTCCTACAGAAAAAAAATCAAATTCCTTAGTTGAAATTAATTAGCATTCAGAAACCAGATAGCATGTTTTTGGGTATTCATGAGATCTCTGTTTGAAAAAATGTTTTTAACTTGTAGAAATGTGTTGCAACACACAGATGGGAAGAAAAAGAAAAAAAAATCTCTTTAGCAAGCACTGTGTGTAAAAGGAATATTACATTTTGCACGCTCCTGATTACCCTGTGTAAACAGTTTTTGACATCTGTCTTTATAGTTTTCGAGGAGAGGAAGACTTTGTTAAAAGAACCATTTTTATACAACAGTCACCATTTCAGTCTTGCTTTACCTGTATTATGAAAGCAGATGGTCTGCATGTCTTTTGAATATTTATAACTATCAAAAACAATCTCTTGCTATTCACCCTTAGGCTTATGAGATGTCAGGACTGTTCTGGTTGAAAAAAAATCATCTTGGGTGTTTACAGAAAGAGGATTACATTAAGCTGAAATGACTATACATTTTCCAGTTTAATATTTGTCCATCAGCTGTTTAATCGTATTTAGATAATTGTGTAAATAAGTTGTTGCAGCCCTTGCCCCTTCCACTGAGCAGGCTTGAAGCTTTAAACACCGATGAATGAGTTGCAAAAAAGCTTGGATTTTTTTTTTTTTCCTAGTTAAACAACCTGGAAGGCCTAAATAAGTTTTGGTTACAATGCTCCTTTTGAGGGAAATGTTTCATTTGCAAAGGAATCCCCGATATCTAATTCAGCTGAGTTGTTTTAGGAAGCTGCTGGGTCTGTTACTCGCTGCTAAGTCTGTTAGCGTGTATTTGTTCTGTGTAAATACTGCGGCCCAACTACCCCTTCATGAGGCATGAAAACAACCTCATTCTGCCCATATAAAAATAATTTTAAGGTTATTTAGGGGAAGTTTTGGGACTGTGGGGGTTAAAAGCTTTTTTGACTGGAAGCTGAGCAATCACTGATAACAGATTTTGCTGTGGTTGGTTGATTTGGCAGAAAAGCATGAACAGTTTTGGTTTAGATGATTGAATTAACCTGATTAACATTGTTTTTGTTGTTTTGCAAAAAGGACAACAGTATACTTTTAGCGATGACCGAACAATACTTCACCTGGTTGGAGAGGAGCGTGAGAGGCAATGACTCAGAAATGCCTGCCCTGTAGCACCTGCAGCGGCGGCTGCGGCGGCCAGCGTGCGCGCAAGGCTCGGGTCCTGCCCGTCTCTTGCAGGATGCGCCTTGCATTAGATTCTGGCACCATAAAGAAGGTGTCTGATGCTACTGTTTTATCGGGGTTTATTTGATGGGCATATGAAGAGAATTCTGGTTGAGATTTAAGATATTTCCCCAGGGATTTCCCCAAGTTCTTTGAGAAATGATGGTGTCTGGTTTTCAAATCTCTGGTATTTAATGTTTGTGAGAGAACGGGATTTGGTTCAAACTACGCTGGGTGAACCTCAACTGAACTTCAGAATGAATTCTACCCCTACCTCCACACGGTTGTTGGATGCCTAATTATAATTAACTTATTTGGCTAAAAAAAGAGCACTTGGGCTGCAGCAGATGGTATCATTCCAGAATAGTGGGATTTTTGTGAAGGTGGCACCATTTCAGATGAGATCTCCTGATTCTCAGAACAGGACTGAAAGTGATGTGGTTGGCCAGGGGGGAGGAATAGAGAAAGGGTTAAGAGGGAAATTTGGGATTGGAAGCCTTGCAACTTACTTTCAAGGATAAAACTTCTAGGAGATGTGTTAAGACTGTGGATCTGTGACCAGTTTTTGTGTGCTGTCAATTTTTTTTTTTTGCGATGTGTGAAAAAGAAATCAGATTATGAGTGATGAATGTGATGCTTTTGAATATTTGTATGATATATGTATATTTGTCATCCTCGTACATGGAAAGCATCTGCCTCTGTGCCTCACAGATAAGGAATGTCTATGCACAGTAGTACCTGAATATGATGTGCTTCAAATACAATCACTTTCATTTTGATTATTGATGAGTATAAGCCAAGACGTGGCGAACTCCTCACGTGTAATGACCCAGGAAATAAGAAAAACTTCACTATGCCTCCAGTCTGGATCGTGGATCTCTGAGGACCACTAACTCATAAGGTTCATCTTCAGCTTTAGGCCCTAAGCATAGTGGGCATTTGTATATGTAGATGGCCATTAAAACATAGAGGAATTCTACAGCAGTAGGAATTATACAGGAATTTCTATAGCAAAGTGCATCTCTCTGCACTGACGTGACTGCAGGTTTGATGGCAACATAATAAATAAAGCATAGAAACAATGAAATTCAATGTTGTCAAGTTATTTTCTGAGTTAACAAGGTAGTAATATTTTATCTGGCTTGTAAAATTTTGCCTTCAGTGAATTAGTAAATAAATCATTGATTCCTCCTGATGAGGATTCTTAGCGTAGGTAATATCACTTGAATGTTTGCATGAAGTGTTCTCGAAGAAAAAGCAGGATAATTTTCATTTTAAAATGTGTTGATAATGTCTGTGGGGTTTTTTTTTATCTCCTTTGAAGAGCTGGAGTAAAATCCCAATATTAGCCATCAGAGCCTGAAATTCACATTGTGTCAAAGAAGCTGAAATTCTTAGCAGTGTTATTTAAACAGACCAGTCCTCTGTTTGGTTGTAAAATACAGTAACTGCAGTAAATTTATTCCTGAAGAAGCAGGGGATGTCACAAACTGCCATGTCATTGGCATATCTTCTTTGTAAAATGACATGGAAAAGAGGACTAGAAAATCCTAGATAAACATCTTCATCAGTAATAGGTAATTTATTAAAATTATTGTTAATATACACGTTTTCATGCTTACTAAAGTTATTTGGGCAGGAAAAGACATCTGAAAGGAGCAAAGCGAGATGAGAAGTCTAAATGACATCCATAAAATATGCACAAGCTAATATGGGATGGTGGCCCATTACAGGTGCAGTTCCCCATTTTGCACATGGAGATGTGCAGGTTTTGCATGTACAGTAACTGTGCATTCATGTAATTTGCCAGTTCAGATCCAGAGGACTTTTTAAATCACGCCTTATTTATCACGTGCCCGTGTTTAATATGGTTTAATCTGTAAAAGAGCTTAAACGATAGTTTTGTAAGACTTAGACATTAATGATATTGCTGTTATGTTGGAAATGGAAATTGGGTTCAGCTGAGCTTGGTTCAGGTCATTCAGGCTAGAGTTGCAGTAGCCTATTAAGATTTCATTCTGCTTTTGTACCACTGACAAAAGTCTGGCTAATTTCAGAAATGTCAGCTTAATATCAAGGCATGGTAAGAATTTTGGTGATTCAGAGAAATATTAAAATAGCTACTTGGTGAGTAGAGGGTATCCACATTGGGCATAAATAATACTGCCTCACTCTAGCAGTTCTGAGCCTCCACAAATAGCTTGTTACTGAGTAATACATTAGAAAATGCTTATGATGAACTTCACTAAGATTAATAATCAAGGTATTTTTACTCAGAAGCTGAACTAGCCTTATAAAAGAAGATGTATCATAATATTTATTTAATTTTTCTCCGAACTCTTTCTTCAGTGGTTATTGCAGTTTGTGTAACAAAGGGTTGATGCTGTACATCGATTTTATGACAGCACAAATATAGCTAAATGTTACATGCTGAACAGTGATGAAACATAATAATCAGAGCTTTGTCTTCTTGACTGTCGTTGTTTTCTCAATACGCTGGACAATTCCTGTAGTTAAGCTAAAAGTAACTGCTTTCCACAAAGAAATCTAAAGGGTGGCAAAGTTCAGTCTATTGAAATTACATTTGCTAATTTTGTTGTTCATCATATGCTGAGTATAATTTTCAAGTTGGAGCATTATCTCATTTTGCAAGGCTTAGTCTTAATTGATTTTGTAAGAGAATGTACTGGAACCGAAAGTTTTATGCATTGTAAATTCCACTATTTTAAAATTGGTCAAAACTGAGCAGAAGGTAAATTTCTCACTGTAGCTATCTGATATCTCAAGAACCTTTGAGAAAAAAATCGTCTCTTTCATACTTTGGTCTATTTTACAGCTAATAGTTACAGAATTAGACATGACAATAAGAGCTTTTCATAAGCTTGTTTCTGCAAATCACTTAAAATACCCTGTTGAGAAAGTCTGGGTTCATTTTGGGTTGTTACATCCATATTTTATTCTACTACTACCCCTCTTATTTTATTCTACTAATAGGTCATTCAGATAAACTTTCATCCTACAGTTTTCTGGGGGTCTGCCCTGTGATCAGTGGCACAAAGGGAATGAGCATGGGTAACTTGGGGCATTGCTTGCATTTTTGGAGTCAGTGTAGGATTTGTAAGCATGTGAACTGTGTGGGTATGTGAAGGGTCAGTCAAATTTAAAAGCAGAAGTAGTGTGAACAAAATGCACGTTCAAGATTAGCATCATCTGTCCAGAGCTCATCCCATTGCTTGATGTTTCTTGGTCGATAACTTTGTTCTTCCCTTAGTACATCTGCTTTTTTTGCTCCCATTTACAATATACCTTGGTTTGTTTTTATGCTCAATTAATGAGTTTTTTAAAAGGCTTTGGACGATAGGATTAAAAATGCAATATAGTTCTCAAACTTTAAAAATATAATGGTTTCAACAATTGAAATAATTTGTGCTTTGATTTGTACTGCTCTGTATTATGATTTTTTTTTCTTTCTCCCCTTTTCACACAGAGTATGATTTCTTCCATTGTGAACAGCACTTACTATGCAAATGTCTCAGCAGCAAAATGTCAGGAATTTGGAAGGTGGTATAAACATTTCAAGAAGGCAAAAGATATGATGGGTAAGCAAAAAAAAAAAAGCCGTGATGGTGGATACATACCATTATGTGTCACGTTGAGGTCTGTCACAGGCATATAAGAAGCCAGGTTCCTTCACGATAAGTTTAGGATGCTTTTGATGAGAGATGTATAAAGCACGTATATAGTGAAAGAATTAATTTAAATAAATATTTGCTGTTGAAACAGCCAAACTGACTTGGGTTGCCAGAGATGTAAAGCTGTCATTCTGTAAATCCTAGAGATCCTCTACTACCCAGAATAATTGTTTAGAAAAACTGTTCCTGAAACTGTGATGGACTGATTTTTTTAATTTATATATTTTGTTCTTGCTCTGGCTAATGTATATTTAAAGAAACAGGCTTCTATACCTATCACTGCCTTCCAACAAGAGTGCTATAATTTTATAATTTTGTATCTTTCTCTAACTTTACGACCATGATTTAAATTTTTTTAAACAAACAGTCGTTGTAACAATTGTTTTGCTTGTTTTAGTAAGCACGAGTAAATTACAGGAGAAAAGAAATCCATCAGTGAGACATATTAATTCTGTAATATCTGTATTGTCCCTTTTAAAAACTATTTCTTAAACCTATTAACATGATTTTGAACAATTTATGTCAGAAAATTTCTACGTAGCTTTCCACAGAATGAAGAAATGGGACCTCAGTTTGGATTGAATTTTGAGCTTGACTTAGCTTTCAATATTTGAAGTAAAATCATTCATCTACCCAAACGGGTTCCTTGCCTTTTATCGCTTAAGGCTGTAATGAAGACAATGCATCACTTTTGTGATAATTGCTTGAATTACTATTCCAAGTGAATGGCCCACTTGGGTTGATCTCTACTTCCTGGTGGTGGAAAAAAAAAGGCAGTTTCTTTCCTTTATCTACTTCGTACCTTCTGTGCAACACCAAACCCTTCTTATGAGACCACCAAAGTTGGTTGTAAGACTTTGCTTGGTTTCAGCTGGTCCGTGTGCGAGGCATCAGAGCACCTGCATGGGGGGATGACATTTCTGAAGCATCCTCTCCCACCTCCGTTGCTGCAGTGTTCCTGCATGGGGCAACCCCAACAGAGTTGGCCTTAAATGACCTGCGAAGACAGGTTTGTCAGCCTTCCATTGAGCAACAATGAAGCCAGCAAGCAGGAAACATGCGCACGTGTGTGTATTCCTGTGCAACCTAATGCTGGGGGGAGAGGCTGTGCTGGCCCCAGAACTGCACGGACAAGCAGCGGGTGCTCTGCTGGGGGGCTGATCCAGGCTATCGGCACCAGACCTCCCTGCAGAACAACGTTTCCCTTTTTATTACACACACACACAAGTTTCTACCCATGATAGGCAGGCAGGGCTGTGACTGGGAATCCAGGTGCTGATTTCTTCTTCCAGCTCTCATCCCTGTAGACAAAGGGTGGTCTTGCACTGAATGGCTGTTGGTGAAGATCGTAACATCTTTTGACCAACCAAGTCTAGTGGAGGGTGTCCCTGCCCATGGCAGGGGGGTTGGAACTAGATGGTCTTTAAGGTCCCTTCCAACCCAAACCATTCTCTGATTCTATGATTACTACGAAAAGTTCAGACACTGCCTTTTTTAAAAAAAAATATGCTTTACTAGTGTAAGAAAATAATCGCTACAACGCTTCGGTGAAGATACTGGTGGTTTGGTTTTTCAGTAAAGCATATTTTCTTAGAGCTATTTCCAGACCAGCATTGCTAAAGCTCTAGAACTTGAGATTGTTTAAAATGAAAAAGTGACGTCCATTGATAAAAAGGATACTCCTTTACATCAGCCTAGAGTTATGTTACATTGTCTTATCATGCATAAGAGGGGAGCTGGAAACACTCTTGTAGTTTAAAAAACTGTTGTTAATTAAAAAGGAGGGTGTGTCAAGGCAAATGAGTTAATATAAGAAAAAAAATCAACCATGTTGCAAGTCACTGAAAAAAAACATGCATACATGGTTGCAAGATAAAGCAGCCCATCTGTGTAATTTACATAAATTATACTAGTTCCTAGCAGTCCCATACAATTGATGCAGCATATAGAAATTAGCAGAGCATGGGGAGGTCCACACCCCACCCTGCTTGTTACAGATTTCCAGTGGCTGGGAGCTGCAGATGTCGTGGAGAGAACTCCACGGGAGGAACAAAACCAGTCACTGCGATCTCTCTCTCTCTCTTGTCGGGGTGTGCTTTCCCATAACAGCCCTCCTTACCCTTTCCACAGATAAACTTACCATTTCACCTGCACCTTCTGCAGCGCACGGAGTCGTTTCCCATCTCTTGTCTTTGCCTCCCCCCCACCCCCAGTTGCTTGCTGCCTTGTCTGAAGTTCCTTGCATCCATCGCTGTGGGGATGTGGTCTGCATCCACACACTCACGGGAAGTTACTCATTTGCCATATGTGGTTTCCAACACACAGTTTTGTCTCTGATGTTCTGCAGGTTCCTCCAAGGGCCCAGTGATGATGATGGACAGGTTGTTGGATATTTTTTGTTAAAAAAATATTCACTACACCATTACTTATAGGTAAATTTTTAAGATAAAAATTTACCTATATAAGGTAAATGTCACAACAGTGACATTATGGGCCTGCTGGTCTAGGCTGGAGAATACAGTAAGCTTGAATCTGAAATGTGCCATTTTATATTTATTTTTATTAGCACATCTTGCGATGAGCATGACCTTTTGTGATTTTCAGTCTTATGCTGGCTTTTTCAATGTTTCTTTTCCACTGTAGTTGAGATGGATAGCCTTTCTGAACTATCCCAGCAAGGTGCCAACCATGTCAACTTCGGTCAGCAGCCGGTCCCAGGGAACACAGCCGAACAGCCTCCGTCCCCTGTTCAGCTTTCTCATGGTAGTCAACCATCAGTTCGGACCCCGCTTCCAAACCTGCACCCTGGACTTGTATCTACTCCCATTAGCCCTCAGCTGGTAAATCAGCAGCTGGTAATGGCCCAGTTGCTGAACCAGCAGTATGCAGTGAACAGACTTCTAGCCCAGCAGTCCTTAAACCAACAGTACTTGAACCACCCTCCTCCTGTCAGTAGATCCATGAACAAGCCGTTGGAGCAGCAGGTCTCAACAAACACAGAGGTGTCTTCCGAAATCTACCAGTGGGTCCGTGATGAACTGAAACGAGCAGGAATCTCACAGGCAGTATTTGCACGTGTGGCTTTTAACCGAACTCAGGTCAGTCGTCTTTCGTTTGTTTTTTTGTGTGTGGGTTTTTTGTTTGTGGTGGGTTTTTTTGTTTGTTTGTTTTGTTTTGTTTGTTTTTTAATCTAAGAGTCCCTTCATGCTCTCTTTTTAATAGTTATCACCTTTTAATCTCTCTCCTCATTTCTGCCTTGTCACTTAGCTCCTGTGAAGGAGCCTTCTTGCAGGACCAGTGTCCATATTGATACAGTAGAGAAATCTTCAGTGATTGGTTTATGGAAATGTCAGCTGCTTGTACAGGCACCTTGGTTCCTCTCCATGTGTGATAGCTTATGAATGTCTTAGTCTTCTCTGGAAAGGAAAAGAACAGCTCTATGCACAAGCATTCACAAAGTCACCCAACAGGTTGCCTTTTGTGTTGCAGAGGTTTACAAGTACTGACCACATGCATGCACTGAACAACCTGTCTTTCACAGGTGTACCTGAGATGGTCTTTCACTCTTGTTTGCATTTGTTTGTATTATTTTCTAGTGAAAGTCTTAATAACGTTTTTTTCAGGCTTCTGAAAAGATTAAAACATTTACTTTTTTAATTTTTGATCATCTACTTTTCATGTATTTTTGTAGTTTGTTGCAAAAACAGTAGTTGCTGAGATTGCTGATGTCCACGTCAGAACATATACTTCAGCTCTTCAGTGCAGAAAAAACTAGCCCTAGCAGAGCTGATAAGTAACACTAAAATGTGTTATTTTTTACACCTGTTTTAGAAGCTAACCCTGTTATAATTTATTCTGCTCTATGAATTTAACTTAATGCCATGTTGCATGGAATTTAATCAAGCAGAAATTATGGAAGAAATGTCAGTATATCCAATGCAGATGATAGTATCTCAAAATTTTAGGAGTCTGTTTTAACAGAAAATAAACCAGGATTTTTTAAAATAGGAAATATTTTAAAAAGACATAGGTACGTTTGCTTTGGATTCCACATTTTTAAACCTAAGGAACAAGCATTTGTCCATTGTAGAATATAGTAAAAAAATCCTAACTTGGACTTCTCTTGAAATCTTAGAGAATAAAAATATTCACTGCAAAGCTTAGAGAATAAAAATTCTGTTTCAAATGCACTGGTACCAGGTTTGAATCAGCATGTCATTCGCAATTGTTCTGAATTATTATAGCCTTAAAATTTTTTACATCCTCCTTTAGCTAAAAGAAAGTAGAGTCATGGTGTGAATTTTGTGTAGAATTCTCTGTGTGCGTGTCTTTCCCCTTAACAGCAGAGGAGGTTTTCAAGGTCTGGGTCTTTCATACCAAATTTCATGGGATATATGGGATATATATCATGGGGTATATAATATGCGAAGATTACTTACGTAAGTTAGGTTCAGGCAGTGTCAGGTGTTATATGTACAAATAAGGGACACAGTTTCATTTAGTATGATGTTTAATATTTTAACTATAGATACTATAAAGTATTGAAATAATAATAGTAACTTTAAGTTGCTGTGGTTTACAGCTGCCATCTTACCTGGGCAAAAAGCCAAGTAAATAATTCAGAAAATAAATAGTTTATTAGATATTTACTTCTTTCTCAGACTTGCCTAAAAGCAGCTTGTTTTCTCTCAGCTTCCTCCCCCCTCCAAAGTAATTTGTTTATTTTTTTGTCAGCTAGTTTTGTGTATAGCTTTTGGTTTCTATCATTTGTGCATGAAGATTATTTGTTACCTGAAACGCAAAGACAATTGGTTGTGACTGAACACTGAGTCTGTATGACACAGTGTAAGAAGTTGCTCTTGAGATGTGATGAATGCAACTGTAGAACCAGATTTCTAATGCAAATACTGATTCCTGATTACTATATATTTTTCATGCTACAGATTTTATTAAGTATTTGTTTAAAATTTATTCTTCCACAGACATTGTGGTTAATCAGCTTGGTAAAATGTGTTCAAAGTGACCCAAAACTGGGAAGAAAACCCAAAATGAACGTTGAAAACAAATCCCATGAAGAGATATGAAATATATATGTAATATATTTGTGCTATTTTCAATCCACTGTACTTGAAAGAACACAGAGTATTATCCCTATATCCTACAAAATGTGTTAGCTAGTTAAGTTAGTCTTTGCAGTTAGCTATGTAAGGTTTTGTAGTATTTGTTATGTATTGTGGCAAATGTAGGTAACAGACAGGAAAAATACTAGGAGCCTAGGCAATATTAGCGTCAGTGTTGCCAAGAAATATGTCAGCATACTTACAATATGAAGCGAAGTCCTACTGAAATGCAGAGAAGTTTGTTGTAGGCACGTTTCACTTTTGCAAAACTGAAAATTATTAATTGTACCCACAGTAAGAACTAATGTCCAGGTATAAATACATGTAGAGATAACTGTGATTCTTATAAGAAAGCAGTTAAATTTGTTTTGCTTGCTGTACTCCAGAATTTATCTTGGGTTATTCAAGCATACATCACATTTAACTACGGCAAGGCGGGGTGGTGTGTGGGGGGTGTGGTGTGTGTAAGGGAAAATTAAAATGCTTGTTTAAATTCATCTACTGTTTTCTGAGATAAAAAGCTAACTCAGGCTCACCACTGACATTTTTGAAACTGTCATCAGCATATTTGAGCCATGTCCAGGGACCATATCAAGCCACCAGTTTCTGAAGGCAGAAGATCTCACTGAAGTTGGTTAGGAGTTCTGTGCAAAAAACCCTGATGTTGAGATACGGTGTCAGATGAGGGTAGAGATTTGCTTTCAGCCTAAAAGTTAAGGAAGGAAGTGAACTATAAACAGTAATTTAGCTTAATGTTTTGGCAGTAAAAATGGACTTCGGTTAAATTGGCTGAAGGTGTTGGCACCTCTGGTTTTACAGACTTTTGCCTTTCCATATGAGTGCAGAATTTGCTGGGTGTTTTGAGTGGGAAGAGGGGATTTTATCAGCTTAGTGTGGTAATTCAGCACTTTGGCTCTATGTCGTGCTGTGACCCAGCACACCCTAATTTCCAAGAATTTTTGATTTAGGGGAAGAATGTTGACCAGAAATGCTGCTACATCACAGCCCAAAGGAAAGAATTTGATAAAATTACTTGTGAAAACTAGGGTGTCTGTCTTTTTAAAATTATCATCTATTTATAAGGCAGAAAAAACCCTGTTGTGGTTTAGCCCCAGCCAGCAGCAAAGTACCACACAGCTGCTCTCTCACCCCCCACCCCCCTTCCAGTGGAGGAGGAGAATCAGAGGAAAAGAGAAGGAAACTTGTGGGCTGAGATAAGAACAATTTAATAATTGAATATACATGAATAAAATAGTGATACTAATAATACTAACAATACTAATAATAATATGTAATGGAAATAATAAAAAATAAAACAAATTATACAATAGCTCACCACCCGCCAAATGATACCCAGCCAAGTCCCGATTAGCGAGAGCCAGAGCCCGAGAGTGATTGCAGCAGAGTCAGAGTGAGCCCCACGAGCGAGAAGAACAACCCACTAACAAACTAAACACGGCCCCTGGTCCACCCCCAACTTATACACTGAGCATGACGTGCTGTGGAATGAAATACCACTTTGGTCAGTTTGGGATAGCTGTCTAGACTGTGTCCCTCTTCCCCCATTTTGTAACAAGAAAGTTGGGAACACAGGTGCAGTATCAGAAGCTGGAAAAGTCCTTGAATTGGTACAAACACTCCTCAGCACCAGCTGAAAAACACCAGTGTTATCAGTGCTCTTCTCAGGGCAAATCCCAAACACAGCCTCATACCAGCTACTGTGAAGAAAATTAACTGTCCTGACTAAAACCGGCACAAAACCCTTCAATCACACCTCAGAAAACTGAAAGGGCATCTTCTTGGATAACTCCCCCCTTCCCTTAACTTCAGAATGGCAGTTTCAAAAATGTGTAGTTCTCAGGAATGTGCCTTGCAAAGTTTAATCAAAGAGGAGTCCAGATAGCTGTAACTTGAATGAAAATTAACTTCTATACAGGCACAATAGAACAATTGTTGTAGGGAGCAGACGCTGTTTGGGGGTTGGAGCACCTCTCCCCACAAGAAATTTCACAGTGGTCCTTCTAGGAAGGCTTCAGAGCGCAGTGGGGTCTGAAGTTTTATTTGTCCTTCAGCAGTTGCGATTCCAGCTCACTGGCTGCAAAGAAACGGATTGAATCCTGTTAGCAACTCTTTGTAGTGCACCATGGAATAGTTTGTTGAGTCAGGATTTCTGCTAGCAGATCTGAGTTTCAGCTCAAGCGTGGCTACCAAATGCGTCTACCGGTCTCTCTCTTTGCTAGGGTAATTTCATTAAATTGAGCTGCTTATGTTGCTGTTTGACCGAATTAATAACATTGCATTTTTTCCAGTTGATGTCAGTGCCCTGTGCAGACACCTCCGCTCTCTTGAAAGAGCAGAGTTCAGTTTTTCCCTGCGCTTCGCTGGTCAGAAAATGGCATATGTGATCGGCTCGCTGGCCCGGGTGGCATGGAGCAGCCACAGGGTGATGGTGCCCATCGTTGGGGCAGCCCCCCAAGGCATGATGCCCTGGGCCAGCCTCCGCCACAGCCTCCTGTCAGCAGGGAGGTTCAGCTTGCCCCTGCACATCTGCAGTTAAACTCCGCTCTGTTTTGCTCTTCCTGAGAGAGCTGGAGCGGAGCATCAGTGTTCGTTCGACTCAAGCACCTTTGGAGGCCTAAACAAGTAAACAAACTCCTCTACCATTTCTGTCATGTGTTTGTAGATGTAAACATGAGTCAGGAAATGGAAAGTTGGGGTTCCCACAAGCAAGCCTGACATTTGGCTTGGAGGCGTAGCTTAACCTGGTGCATGGCAGGTGACACGAACGTACCGCGCGAGCAAGGAATTGTGTTAGTCATGATTGTGGTTGGAACTGTAACTCGGGGCCGCCTGTCTGTGTTTGTGTACACTTTCAACCGTAGCCTTTGCTGCATGAACTTGGGTGCTGCTGCACGGAGGTGACCTCTCGGCTCCATCTTCACAAAAGGAGGGGGAGTGCTTTTGCCGTATCTGACTATTGTAATTTTTCTTCTTCCCACCAGTGACAGTTTTTCATCTCAAGGTTTTTGAGTACTTCTCAGTGTTCCTGCCAGATATCTTTTCTCTGCTCCTCCTTTCTACTTCACCCCCATGCTTGTTTAAAATATTAGCTGCCAGGATACATTGCCTTCCTTTCATGTATAATGTCTATTCTCATATATGAAAACTTCTGTGTATTTAGGAGTGTGCTCATGCTAATTCTGGGCAATTGCTGTTTCAAGGGAGAACACTTGGATGCAGTAAACGGGTCTGCGTAATTTTAAAACAAAATCTAAGTTTACGCAAACCACCTTCTCAGGCACTTTTTTTTTTCTTCCACTTTGTCTTTGGCACACTTTATTTTCCAGTAAAATGAAAAATGAAGATGGATTATTCAAAATTGATAACAGTAATGGACCATCATGTAATGTTTTATTGAATTTGCGTTCTGTAAATTATGTGGTAGAGAGAAATTTGCCTGCTTAAGTATAACAGAAATTGCCACTGTATTCATATAATTCTTCGTAGTGTAATTTAAGAAAAAGCACACTATCCGTATCAGTATTGAATAAAAGGTAAAAAGGTGCTATTACACTATCATGACAGCTCTCCTCTTGCTACTAAGCGACATAGATAAATGTGTCTGCTTATAACTTATTTGGCAGGGATCCAGGCTTGTGGGTGGAGCTTGTGAATAATCTTCCACCTGGACATGGGATGGGAGCACCCTGCAACCAAGAGAGATAGCATTCAGGGATGTTCTGCGTGTTTTGGGGAGGTTTGGGCAAATTGCATTTTTCTTCTGGGAGCTTTGAAGTTCTATCAGGCTGATAAAATCTATTTGAATCAGTGATTACGTTCAAAGAGGAGACAAACTGGGGGCCAGACAGGCAGTGTTTTTGTTCATATTGGCAGACACTTTCGTTTATCTCCATTTTTAAAGAATTCATAATTAGCTTTTGAAAGCCCTGATAATATTTATTGAACATTTTTGTGCAATTAGTAATGAATTATACTTGTGATGACATGTAAACTTTCTTTTTGTCAATGGGATCCAGTAACATTTTAAGAAAATATATTTCCAGTGCAAAAAGAATACAAGGGAGGAACAGTGAGGGGGGACTCCGAGCTTAACAGTGTTTATAATCTCTGTGCAAAAGACCTGAGGTACAGTATCAGGAGATCACACCAAGACTCTTCGTACCTTGGCGAACCAGTTCAAGCCTGGTAAAACAAACAGTAAATCTCTGCACATCAGCATGAGGCAGGATGTGAGACCTGATGTTTTCTCTCTACGGTTTTCCCAGTTTATATCTTTAGCTGAACTTTTGTGCTTATAAAACTGAAGCATTAGCAATGAAGTAGTATTTGAAGCAGGCAAGCTGTACTGTGCCTGCACCTGGTACTACACCTTATTTTTCATGTTATTTCCTCACATATTCTGACCTTTAGGTTCAAAGCTCCTAGGAGCAAACACCTCCTCCTTGCCTTCTCCCCGCTCTCTCATCTCCCCTCCTCTCTCTGCATCCGTGTCCTCTGCTCAGCTCTCAGCTCATGCAGAGTCATAGCAGTGAGGGGGGAAGGAGAGGGGAATGAATACTTAATGGCATTTCTAATCACCAAGAGGTGTCCTGCAGCAATGGTTATACTGACAAACGCAGGAAGAATACACAAAACAATTTTCTTTGTTTACTTGTTTCAGATGGGGGTGTGTGGTGTGTGAAAGTTACACTAGAAAAACAACCTTTGCTGCTTTTTTTAGCTGCCCACTATGTGGCAAAGGCTTATATGAGCAAATATTTTCTATTATTGGCTAAAGTATTTTTCAAGAATGCTTACTGTGGCTGGCAGTAGGCTGGCTGTTAGTAAGGCATCTCCTCTCCTGCCAGTGATCAGTCCACTTGAGTTTAGTTTTCCTTTCTTCTTTTTATCCTGGTGTGGTTGTTTTCAGCATAGTAGCAGTCAGAAGTCACATATGTTTACACCTCCATCATACATCCTGTGCTCAGCAGACAGCTTTGCCTTGTCTCCAGTGGCACAAAATCATTTTTTGCCTCCCTTGGAGGATGGGTTGTGTAACCCTACCACTGACAAACAAATAGTAACTGTGAAATGGAGTATTTAGAAGTAGGAAAAAATGTGAGACAAGAATTTTATTTCCATATTTGCTAATAAATGAATTTATTGTTAGACTAATCATTAAGAAAAATTTTTAAAATTATACCTCATCCAAACACCGCTTTTGTTTGTAACTCATTTATTTATCTTCTGAGTAGTTTCTGCCTGGATACCAGAAAAGAGAAGTGATGAAATGTAGTGGTAAGACAGTATCTACCAGGATTATTTTCTTTTAATCCTTCTCCAAATTACTTTTCATGCTGTGCAGGCACAGACAGGGCCATGAGGACCCCACTGGCCCCAATGTAGTGGTTATGCCTCCATCCTCATCATCCCTGAGAGATGAAGAGGCAATGGGGCAAATGCAGACCTCAGAGCTGCACTGGCTGGGCTCTGACCTGCCCGAACACGGCTGCCTGAAAGCAGCACCTTCATAACTTCCATGCACTGACTTCCGCAGGTGTTGGGAGCATCAGACCTCCCTACAGAGGAGGTTGGTCCTTGGGGTGTAGCTTTCTGTTGCATTCCCTTAGGAATGGGTATCTTGTGTCAGGATTGCCTCTCTTGGTTTCAGCTTTTTTTATTGCCTGCCTCCCTCCATTACCCCAGATAACTTACAACAGTTCTTGAGGAAAAGAAACACTGGGTTGTGTTATTTCTTTAATATCACATCCATGTTCCCATCTTACACTAGCAATAAAACCTCTCATACCAAGCCTGTCCTTGTCCCAGCATGGCAACAGTGTTTATTCTAAAAAGAAGTTCTTGTTTGCTTTTGCAGAAGTTGGTTTTCTTATCACCACCTTGTTACTTCAAGACAATAGAGCAGTTTGCATGCCTGACATGTTTAAAAGGAGAATTTGGCAGGGGGCAGATTTCAAGAACCTGTTGACATTAAAGTTGTAGTTGCACTCACAGGTTCATGCATATTTCATCTTTTGGAGTAATTAGGTGTCCCAGATGGCCAGGCCTGCTCCAGTGCTGAGAACTGAGATGAAATGATTAGGTAGGAAACCTGGTGTGGTCTGTACAAGCTGTTTTTCTCTATTCCCCAGTGCTTCCTTTGATCTGTCCTTTCTGGATTCTGAAAGTGGCCAAAGGACAACAATGGTAAATGAATTTAGGAAATGGGACCTGCAGAGCTAGTGCTCAAATAAATAGCCCAGGCGATGGACTGGGTGAGGATTAGGGTTGTCCTGGTGAGGAGAGGGGGACAGTGGGAAGAGGAGGAAGGTGAAGGAGGGGGCTTCCTCACTGGTTCAACTTGAACATACAACTCTCAAAATACTGACTTACAAAAAATATGGACTTGAGTCAGTTAAGCGGTTCTTTACAAACGTTGTGAGTTTATCGTCTCAGATTGGTTGTGAAATATCACTTCCTTTCAAAGAGCTGCTTAAGTTGCTAGAAATGGGGAAAGCCATTTTTTCAGGTCGGTTATGCCTTTTGTCTCTGAAGGCTGAGAACACCCCAGTGTCATGCCTCTGGGGTGTCCATATTTCACTTATTCGGAGTGTTTTGTGATTGTCTGTTGACTGTGAAGGATTTCATGGCAAGTTAAGCCAGTAAAGGGAAGGAGACCTATTAGGCAGATTCAGTTTATGTTGTATGTAAAACAGGTGCTTAATAAAATTAGAGGTACGATTGAGACTCTCTTCTCTGCTACCTAAAACGACACTAGTATGTGGAGTGAATAGTGCATTTGCTGCTCTCATTCTCAGCCCGGTGGAAAGAGGAGGACTGAAAAGCGGCGGCTTCGCAGAGCATGGCTTTAGTTGTGCTCATCTGGGCTAACTCTCCCGCATGTTTTTTTTCTTCCCTCCCTACAGGGCTTGCTCTCAGAAATCCTCCGAAAGGAAGAAGATCCTAAGACTGCCTCGCAGTCCTTACTGGTAAACCTTCGGGCTATGCAGAACTTCTTGCAGCTGCCGGAAGCCGAACGAGATCGAATTTACCAGGACGAAAGGGAAAGGAGCTTGAACGCAGCCTCTGCAATGGGCCCCGCGCCTCTCATAAGCACACCGCCTAGCCGGCCTCCGCAAGTAAACCCCTCTCTGTCTTTGGGATTTGCTCATTGTGTTTCCTCACCGTCCTGCTGGGTGATACTTTTCTTAAAAAGCAGAAAGATTTTACTGCTGCATTTTTTAAATGCTGGTAGAACCATTATTTGCAGCGCATATCACAAATTAAATTTAAGAAATATAATGGATGATACTAGCAGTTTATTACTACCTATTTTCCAGTTTTAAGATAAATTCTATCCATTATGGCCCCTGTGGAGTTTTTTCCTTATTTTATTGAGATATGAGCTTTACTGGGCCTGGAACATTCTGGCTTTCAGCTGTCTTTTGTTTTTCATATAATTCTCAGGTGTTGCTTTTAATGTTAGAGGTTCAAATAGGGATTTTGAAGGATTTGAACCATTAAACTGAGTGGGAATGACAGCAGAAGTATGAGTACTTTGCATTGCCTTAAAAATTATCTTCCAGGAAATGAACAGGTAAAACTAAAGGGATGGGTGAAAAAAGACTCCATCCCAAAATGCTGGGCACACTTTCATCAAGACAAGCTATTGACAACTGGATAACATAACAGACTTGCTATATCCATCACTCTGAAAGATCGGGATATGTTCATTAAAGCTTTGTTTAATGTTTGTTCAAATTAAACTCCTATTGATTTCTGTAAAATCTAGTGAGACTATTGGTTTAACTCTCAAAAAATTGTGAAGTTTGAGAGAGTGGGATCCAGAAATTCAATGGCGTAGTCCTTGTGCCTGTCAAGGAAACTCTGATGCTGGTTTTAGGGTACGTGAGGAATATAGGTGTGAGCCATAGGAATGCAGAAGATTTCCACAAAGAAGAAACGTGGTTGTGAATGAAGCACTGAAAAACCAGCACACCTTTTCTGAAAGGCATTGCTGTGGCTCAGTGTTGTACCTATGCAAGGACAAAACAAACTGATCTACAGATATGTGGGATATACGCAGTCCAGATTTGCTATACAAAGCAAGGCTTTGAGATTTAGGGAATTTTGTGATGGTTATGTAAACAGAGCAGTTTTCTACTAACCAGGCTCAGTCATGTGCCTATATTCCATACCCATTCTTAACACTGTAAATTTCTACAGGTTATTTTTCTAATTTCCCTGCAGCTAATGGATACTAAGGAGCAGAGTGAAGTAACGAATTAACAATATTGTAGAAAAAGTGTGGACAGAGGATTGCTTTGAGCTGCGGCAGTACTTTTCACAAGAAGAGAAAAAACTTTTAGCAGAAAGAACAGACTGTGCTAATGGTCTAGTTTTGTTATCACTAACTGAGTTTAGTCTGTGAAATCCACTATAGATATTCTTCAAGATAAAGGATGAGAGTCTATTTACATAGCAATGCTTTAGTGGAATATAGTTAAATATAGATAACTGTTTAAAATAACATTTGAGTTTGTTTTAATATCTGTACCTGCTCCCACAGCCCAGGTAATTCAGAGCAAAGGCTAACCTTCCTTCTTAACTTACCTCTTTCTGCCAAGGTAATGTCTCACTCTGTCTCAAGTGGTCTTGGGCAATTTCACAGCTAAAGAACAGAGTTAATTACAGGACCTTCCAGAAGGATGTCGAGTAGGAGGTAGTCCTTATATTGGTTTTAATTCATACTTTAAAGTGTATAAAGTCCTTGCAGCCAGAAAGAAAGTGAGACTTTGGGGTTTTCTTAACTGACAAAACATACTGTAAGTCCAGATTTAGGGGTCAGAGGAATCTATCTGTCTATACTGTGCTCTTGTTCATAATTACATTTAATTTTTTTAGTGGGAGTCAGGAGTATAGTTAACCTAGTTATGGCAGTTCAAAGTGGAAACAGCATACAGTTTTGTTTTGATCCTTTTCAAAAGGAAAGCAGGTTAACGAGGAAACCCTATAGACTAATACTTGAGGTCTACTGAGTGAAACAGTTTTTTTTCTAATTGTTACATTGTTCTCTGTCATACAGTGAAACAGGTGGACTTTACGGGCTGGATGGAGGATGTAGAAACCTCTGAGTTGGGATTCTGTGCGACCTTTTTACATGTTTCCAGTATTCCACCTATACGCACATGTAGCACTCACCACCTGCTACTAAGTGGTCAGAGCCGGAAGTTTGAAAATTGAAATAACCATGTTGGTAACATAAGTGCAATACTTAATGTGAGAAATAACATTGAATTTATTCCAGTAGTTGCACTGGCAAGTATAACTTTAAAAATCATAGCAGAAATAAATTATAGTCAGTATACTGAAAAATTATTAATGCTAACTACTACTCTGATCCCCGCCCCC